ACGTTAATATGTGCTAGATACTGAGTTAAGTGCTCTATACAGTTTATTTCATTTAATCCTCAAAACAATCATATAAGATAGGTTCCATTATTACCACCAATTTACAAATGAGGAAACTGAAGTTCCAAGAGGCAGTTACATGCCCAAGGTCTGACAGGCAGCAAATTTGGGCTAGTAAGTAGCAGAGCTCAAACCCAGATTCATCTAACTGCAAAGCTCATGCTGTTAAGTGCTAGACTTCTCTGCCTTTTAGTACTTGCCCAAGTGTTCCCACTAATAAAGCATGATGCTAATCACAGTTCATTTAAACATAGTAATACACAGTGTTATTTAGATTCAAGGATTTCACAATTCATTAAAATAAAATCTGACGTCTATACTATTAAACCGTAACTGCAACGTGAAAATGAAAAAATTACTTACTTGCACAATTTGCCTTCTGCCACGTGGAATTAAAAAACTCCGACAGAATCACAACTATTTGCATTCTATCTGCCATCAAAAGACTTCTGGCACAACTATGACTCTCTGAAGTATTCTGTAATAACAAAAAAAGATAGAAAAATTCAATCTGAGTAATTTTAGAGTTCCCAAACAATGACTTGAGGCAAAAACTTTTTAAAATAATTAAAAGTTATTCTAAGCATTTTAACATTTTGTTTGATATAATCAAATGTCATTAATAACAAATATAATAAAACAGTAGCAGCTAACAATTATTGATACCAGTTTCATTTGCAAGGGAAGGAAATCTTTGCTTCTTAAATAAGGACTTGATCCTATAGTACAAGCTCAACAAATTGTGTACATGTCATATTTCTTACTTTTTATGCATAGGGAAACATTCTGGAAAGCTATTTACCAAAATGTAGCAGCAGTTATGTGTGAATAATGGAAATATGGTGATTTTTCTTTTCTTGTCTTTTGCCCCTTTTACACCATTTAAATTTTTCTACAATTAACATATTATTATACACTTTTTAAAATCTGNAAAAAAAATTTTTTTTTAAAAAGCTCTAAAAACAGGGCACAAGTTTTCGTTTGTAAATAAAATTTATATTTATACAGGAAATTTCCATTTGTAAAGATGTCTCCCTCTCGTGTAAAAGGAAGAAGCATACTCTTAACAACTGTTACCAATGGAGAAGGCTCTAACTTAAATCTCCGTAACAAATCTTGCTATACAACCCTTGTTTACAATACTTTTCCTGGTCACCTTCCCATAACTTGCCTCCTCCACCCAGAAGCCCCAAACCCCTTCCCCTCTGATCAGCCTAAAACAGTGGATAAGCCCAAATTCTAACTATCCTTCTGGGTCACTCGTCATTGGGTGCTCCCATGTGTACATGTTCAGTGCATGTGTTAATAAACATCTGTTTGTTTTTCTCTTGTTAATCTGACCTAATTTACTCTGTCTAATTTACAGAGTCCCAGCCAGACAGCCTAAGCCAAGTAGAGGAAAAAGATTTTTTCCTCCCCTACAGTAGATACCAGGACTTGACACACTGTGAGATGCACATACTATGATAAACGACCATTGCTACAATGAAAGCTAATATTAACTGAATATTTGCTATGTTCCAAGTGCTAGGCTTGTACATAACATTTACTCATTTAATTCTTACAACAATCCTATGAAGCAAGCACTATGATCATCTCCATTTTCTAAATAAGGAACAGAGGCTTGGAGGAATTAAGGAAGTTGCCCAAGGTCACAAAACTGGTAAGTGAAAATTTGGTATTTCTACTCAGTCTGATTCCTGAGCTTGCACTTTGAAAGACTACAAAATAAATAAAATATTCACATCTACATTCTAAACCATTAACGTGCACTACTCGAGTCAACAAACAGATGCCACCCCTCCTCCCTCCATAACCCACAGATATCTTACACCACACAGAGATTCAGGCAGTCACTACCAACTGATCAGTACTGGCAACTGAGATGAAACCCAAGCCTGATGAACAGGGCAGCAATGGCACATTCAGGCTCCCGTGTGCAAATTAAAACAAGGCATCCCCTCTGGGTAGATTGATTACAAAAACACACCCCTGCTTCCAGAGGCTGAGCGAGAATTCAGCCCCACTCACCCCTTACCCAGGCCCGTAATGCAGGGCTTGGTCTGCACCTGGTATACATGGAGCCTCCTAAGTACCTATTTCTAGTGTTTCCCTCTCTGAACTCACATACTCTACATTCTCAGCAGCTTTATTGTCTCAAGAATGTAAATCCCATTTTGACTATTCACCTTATCATTTAAAAATCTGAGGGATCACTTCACAAATTAGCAAACAAGCCAGAGAAATAAAGGGATGTACTGAGGATCATACATCAAGTTAATAAGGCATTGAAATACAA